ATTTCCACTTTATTATCACTTTCTGGCCCACGTGTGATAATGTCCTAGTATTCAAATCCCAGCTCAGCCATGTAAACCCACTGGGTGAGACTGGGGGAAGTCACACCCTCTCAGCCATAGAGGGTGGCAATGACCAACCCCATCTGATGAAACTTGCCAAGAATCCCCATGGTAGATTTGCCTTAGGCTCACCATAAGTCGGAAATGACTTGAAGGCACACAACAGCCATGTGCATTTTTCAGTTACAAATTTTGTTAAGTGTTCATCATAGATTTGCCTACACAAATATTTGTGGTTGTTTTGGGCCGTCACGTAATATCTGACTTATGGCAACTCTCTTTTTCCTTCTCCTTAGTGGAATTGTATGTACAGCACTAATCTCTTTGGCTGCCTTCTTCCTTGCTTGTCCATTATCTAATAAGTGATAAGATTGACCAGCTACTGGGTAAAATCTCACTGCAAAGCAGACTTGTTCTGCCCAGTGTGTTAAGTGATAAGACCTGAGATGGCGAATAGGTCAACCTCTGGCTTGTAATTGCTCCCTGGGGCTATCAGCAGTGGAATCCAACTGGAAGGCATCTTAAGGAGAGAGAAAAGCCAAATGCAGTACTTCCAGCCTGGGGAACAAAAGGCAGATGGGTAGCTTATGCAAATAACAGATGATTCTTGCAAATGGGAAGTTAACAGGGCTAACAAGCATTTTAAGTGGAGGAAATGTCCTATTAACAAGAGCCAGAGGAAGAGGTGTACTTTTACACCAGATTGGAAGGATTAGATGTAAGAAATGTCAATATCTAGGAGATAGAATTCAAAGATACGGGAGATGTTCTTATTTCATAGGGTTTTATTGTCTTTCTTTTTTTAATTTTAAAGGCAAGAGCTGGGAGGGTGATAGAAATTCAAATATATATTTAATACATCTAATCCTTGATTTCATGGCTTGTCAGTTAACAGTTGACTGGATAGAACATCTGGGGGAGGGGAAGCTTCCAGATGTTTTGGACTACAACTCCCACTTTAAAAGTGATCATGGTGGCTGGGGTTCATGGAAATTGTAATCCAGGTTGCTTATTTGTGGTACAAAATGTGAATTCTCATAGTTAATTCACAGATGACAAATAGGTCCCTTGGAGAGCCGGTGTGGTGTAGTGGTTTAAGCATTGGACTGTAACTCTAGAGACCAGGCTTCAAATCCCTGCTCTGACACAGAAACCCACTGGGGGACCTTGGGCTAGTCACACTGTCTCAGCCTCAGAAGAAGAGAACAGCAATCCCCCTCTGAACAAATAGTGCCTAGAAAACCCTTTGTGACAAAATGTCACCAGGTCTAAGACAGATCAACAAAACCAAAAACTAAAAACATCAATATGATCCTTAAAACAGTAACACTGGAAGCCTTTGGACTTATCCAGGAGGACTCTTCTAATGTTCTTAAGCTTGTGGCTCTTTAGAAGGGGCTTCTCCACTTTTTGAAGACATACGGTTCTTCATATTACTATCTTGTTACATTTGCTTGTTAGCAGTAATTGAGAAGAGATTGTGGGGGAAACTGCTTGCTACAAATAGGTACGGTACTTCCCACTCCCCATAGAAATAACCAATGGCCCTGTGGAAGTATCTGGCTATGGTTCTTATCTAGCCCATCTCAGAGACAGAAAATTTAAAATCAATTAAATTATCAATTAAGTTGGGCCTTTTCTATCATAATCATATGTGTTTTTTAACTAAAGTGAATGATTAAGTTGACATTTTAGTATTAACCACTGTTCTGTATCAGACACTGCATAGGGGCACCTCAGCTGTTCCAGGAAACTGAATTTGGATGCTCTTAACTCCGGGACTTTTTGAAACCAGTAAAATAAAGAGCCAGCATGCTGTAGTGGCTTGAGCATTGGACTGTGACTCTGGAGACCAGGGTTCGAATCTCCACCCAGCCATGGCAAGCCACTGACAAGGGATGAATAAGGGACCCTGGTTGAGAAACCTGGATCTAAGAGCTAGCATAGTCATACACAATATGTGTCATTTGGATGCTAAGTGCATGATGATTGGGAGTCAAATGTGTGAGCTGATACTGTGTTTAAGGGGATATGGGTGTTGTGTCTGTGGTGGCCCATTTGCATGTGAAATACACAATACCATGTTGTAATCATCCAGGGAATATGCAGATAAGAATCAATTCCAGGAAATTGCCTAGGAATGCAGTTGTGGGATGCAATCCACAGAGGTATGAGTAAACATGTTAGTAATGTTCAATCATGGGCCCATTTGGGGTGGAGGGGTGATACAAGAAGATCACAGGTGCTTAGATAATTGAAGAGATCCAAAACCATGACTTCTATCCTTATATGCACATCTAACTCTCATAGTTACTAAGGAAGAGTTC